CGCGCGCGGAACAGGCGACCACATTAAACTCCCTGAAACAACGGAAAATAAATGCATGATTTTCGCCCCTGGGGCCTCTCTCGGGGATCAGCGTGGAGCTCCTTTGCGGCGTCTTGGAAACCACGCAAGCCGTTTTGAAGCAACGGTCGGCGTGCTGGGATCGTTTTGGTGCTTTCTGGCCCCCTTGACGGCTCTTTTTAGAGCCCTCAGGGCCCCCTTGGAGCCCTTTTGGCCGGTCGAGGCCCGTTTGACCCCCCATGCCACGCTGTCGCACTGGTCCGCCCCCCCCCGGGGCCTACTCGTGTGTATATACATATATACATCAGAGAATAGGCCAAATCCCACCGATGTTTTAAAAGGCTATAGGGCAATGGGGCTATAGGGCTCTAGTGCTGTAGGGCCATAAGGCTATAAGGCAATGAGTCTATGGGGCTAGAGGGCTATATGGCTGTAGGGCTATTGGGCTGTAGGGCTGTAGGGCTATAGGGCTATAGGGCTATAGGTATAGGACTATAGGGCTGTAGGGTCATAAGGCTGTAAGGCTATAGGGCTATTACGGCTATAGGGCTATTGGGATATATGGGGTATAGGGCTATTAGAGCTATTGGGCTATAGGACTATAAGGCTCTAGGGTCACAAGGCTATACAAGGCTATTAGGGCTCTAGGGCTGTAGGGCTACAGGGCACCTGGGCACCCGGGCACCTGGGCAGCTGGGCACCGGGGCACCCAAGCACCCGGGCACCCCCGCGCACCCGGCGCCCCCGGGCACGCCGCCGAAATCGGCGGCACACCTCACCTAACCATATGAATTCGCTAGGACCCCTACAGAGGCAAGCTCTGATTTGGGAATAGAGTAGCCCCCCCATTAGACCTCTCGTCTTTGAGCTATGGGATGTCTTCGGAAACCTGGTCCTCATATTCCTCTTGAGAGACGCTGTGGCGGAATGCGGGGAAGCAAGCAGGCAGACGAGCAAAGGGGGAGGCGGGGGCAGGGTAAGAGGGCGGGAGGGCAGGGGAGCGGAAGAGCGGGAGAACGGGAGCGCGGGACAGGGAACGGGAGGGTGTTTGCTTCTCGCGGCCCTCGTGGGGGGCCTCTCGGCGGCCTCTTGCGGCTTTTTGTTTGGGGGGGGTCCTGGCGCGGCGCTGGCAGCTCGGTCGGGGCTGTCGTTGCCCAGGTCGGGTCCGCCGCGGTGCAGAGTCGTACGCAGAGAAGCACACGGAGAGCACCGTTCTCAGAGGTGGGAAGAGGCGGCGGCCGACGGCAACGTGTTTGCCCGAAGACCTCTGAGTGGAACTGCCGTCCTGGGGTCGGCAGCCTCACCCGATGCTTGTTCGGCTATCTTCTCTTGGACTAGGGAGGGATGGAGGATGAGGAGGGAGAGGAG